CACCAAAACCACAAATCCAGAGTAAAAAATCCCAAAACAAACAAACAAAGGAAGTTCGTTAAAGCAGCGAGGGCAATCTCAATAGAATTACAGTCGATTAACAAATAGTGGCGATTCGAACAATATACCTCAGAATCTTCCATTACCGGTGAATCGAAGAGCCTTCTCCGCTCTTTGCTGATTTATTTGGACCCCGTTGTGAAGAATGAAGAAAAGAGAAGGAATAAGCGCGGAGGTTTGTTCTGTTTCCCCCCCTCGCTTTTACTTCAGCTGTCTGTTACGAACTGAACGACTCAAGTCCAACCCTAATTACCATTTTACCCTCTCCCCCCTCCCGTAATTACACCGCCTGCCACTTCAGTGGCCAACCGCAACAACGCCGGTTTTTTTTAATTCCGCCTTTAGATTTTTTTTTTCTCCTCGCACGTATCAGCTCGCGCCAGCTGACGTGGACGTATCGGGCGTGACAGATGGCACGCGTTTAATACATGCTGTGGTTGAATGGACACGTGGACGGCTGTGATTTTGGTTCTACTGTGTGTAGCGAATAGAGTAGCGAATCCTTTTCTGTTTTTTTCTTTTATTTTTTAAGTAGTTAAAAAGCAAACCGTTATTTTATTATTATTTTTTTTTCGGTGTTTTGGAATCTCTGTTCCTAACCTCAAATATTGATGAAAGTGGACCGCCACCTAATTTATTTAAAACGACATGTCGTCCAATGAAACAATATACCCTAAATATCGTTCAACTGATTAAATTATATCTCTCGATCTTGAGCTTGAAATAAATGCGATAAAAATAGATTTTGAAAATAATTCGTGTGATGCAATGTCGATGATACTTAGTTTAGTTCGGGTTGATTTTAGATTAAAAAATTGTATTGAGTCGGTATAATAAAGTTTCTTGTTCAGTCTCATGTTCAAGATCTAAACCGTGAGTTGTTATAAGATCCCACGTCAGTTGGTGAGAAAAACGAAACATTTCTTATAAATGTGTGGAAACTTCTCCCTAACCGTGAGACTGACGACGATACGAAAGGGATCAAAGTCGATAATATCTACTAGTATTAGGTTTTGGCTATTACAAATAATATCAGAGCAAGACGTCGAACGGTGTGCTGAAGAAGACGATGGGTTCCCAAGGAGAGTGGATTGTGAGATCCCACATCGGTTGGAGAGAGAAACGAAACATTTCTTATAAGAATGTGTAGACCTCTCTTTAACAGACACGTTTTAAAATCGTGAGACTGACGACGATACATAACGAGTCAAAAACAGACAATATCTGCTCCTAGGGGGGCTATTATATTCTCGAAAAATATTTATCGATTCAAATTAAAATTAAAATAAAATAAAATAAAATTGATTGTCAAGTTTTTATTTATTTTAAATAAAACTAAAATGAATATTTAGAATTAAAAATTTAATAAATAAATGGAAATAATTTAGTAATCTTCATAATTAATTAGGAAGTTATTATCGTAATTAAAATAAAACTCAATAATGGAAAAGTTAATTAGAGAAAAGAATCCCCTAATTTTTAAATTATATATATAATATCCCGCCATTTTCTCAACGAAACCGGGTCGGAAAGCGGGTAATCCGGTTAACCCGTACCCGTATTGAATACCGCCGGTCTTCTTAACTCGAAACGTCACGTTTATATCCATATCATCTCCACGTGGCTTTGACGAAGAAACTTGCAGCTCTCATCTGCTCCCGCTTCCCGCTCCCGCTCCCGCTGGTTGTTCTTCTCTGCTGCAAGTCTCACTGTGAAATCGATTAGTGAATCGGAGAAACTGGATGTGGAATTTTCACTGGTTGTTATCTCAATCTGTTCTTCGTTGTTCGTTAACTGTTCGTCATCTTGTAGGAAAACGATTGCGATTGGGAAATTCCGATTCGCTAATGAGAACTAGTTTCTAATGGCGCTCTTGCCGTATTTGTCCGTGCCGAATCCTTTTCGAACTTTAGCGACTTTTCCGAAACGGTATTTAGAGTCTCATCAACTTCCATTTCTCTCAAATATTTACAATTTCAGTGTTCGCCGTAGATTTTTTCTCAGATGATTGGAGATTGTCCTCCGATGCGGGGAAGTGCCGGGCGAAGCCGAAGGATCTTGTTCTTGGGAATACGTCGGTAATTTTTTAGACGGGCGAGTACAGCTATGATGTTGAAACCGCCACGAGGTAGCATAGCTCGTTGTCTTGATATCTTCAAGAATAGGCTCTCACTCGATGACTTCAGCATGGTTTTTAAGGAATTCGCGGCGTGCGGCAATTGGCAACGCTCTTTACGACTCTTTAATACACGCAGCGTCAGATATGGTGCAAGCCGAACGAGTACATCTATGCCATCGTGATCAGCTTGCTCGGCTGCGAAGGATTGCTAGAGAGCTGTAGCAAGATATTCGATGAAATGTCGAGCCAGGGCGAGATACGTAGCGTGTTTTCTTATACCGCTTTGATAAATGCCTACGGGCGCAATGGTCAGTACGAAACCTCACTAGCACTTCTTGAAAGGATGAAGAGAGAAAGAGTGTCGCCTAATATATTGACTTACAATACCGTGATAAATGCATGTGCTAGAGGTGATTTAGATTGGGAGGGTGTTTTGATTTGATTTGATTCTGTTATTTGATTTAGATTTCCTTGTTTTCCATATTCTATAACGTTATATAATAGCCAATTTCATTATGAAAAGATTTCTTCCAATTCTTCTGATTTTTTAGGAACATTTAGTATCAAAGTCATGCACTAATCTTAGCCATGATAATAGAATCCTTAAATATTGAACAAAAATTGTGAGCCTCGAAGATGTAGTAGTCAAAAAGTGACTAAAGTGTCGAACAAAAGGTGTATTTTGTTCGAGGGCTCTAGAGAAAGGAGTCAAGCCTCGATTAAGGGGAGGCTGTTCGAGAGCTCCATAAGCCTCCGGAGAGGCTTATAGTGTACTTTGTTCGAGGGGAGGATTGTTGAGGATTCTTGGGAGTGAGTCCCACGTTGGCTAATTTAGGGAATGATCATGGGTTTATAAGTAAAGGAATACATCTTCATTGGCATGAAGCTTTTTGGGGAAGCCCAAAGGAAAGCTACGAGAGCTTATGCTCAAAGTGGATAATATCATACTATTGTGGAGAGTCGTGATTCCTAACCATTCTTCTGATCTTTCCAGTTTTCTCTCTGTTCTTAACAGAGGGACTGTTTGCCGAGATGAGGCATGAAGGGGTTCAACCTGATCTGGTTACTTAAAATACTTTGCTTAGTGCATGTGCTGCCCGCGGTTTAGGTGATGAGGCAGAGATGGTCTTCAAGACTATGATAGAGGGAGGGATCGTCCCGGAGGTAACAACATACAGTTTATTGTTCTAACATTTGAAAAATTAGGTAAGCTCGAGAAGTTGCTATGTTGCTAAAAGAGATGGAGTCCGAAGGGTATATGCCTGACATATCATCCTACAATGTAAAATCAGGGTCCGTTAAGGAGGCAATGGATGTGTTTAAGCAGATGCAAGCAGCAGGATGCGTGCCAAATTCGTCCACTTACAGCATTCTGTTGAATCTATATGGGAAGCATGGGAGGTATGATGATGTTCGAGAGCTTTTCCTTGAAATGAAAGAGAGTAGTGCTGAGCCAGATGCAACTACTTACAACATTCTCATACGAGTATTTGGAGAGGGTGGATACTTCAAGGAGGTTGTAGCTTTGTTTCATGACTTTCTGGATGAAAAGATTGACCCAAATATCGAAACATACAAGGGGTTAGTATTTGCTTGTGGAAAGGGAGGGTTGCATGAGGATGCCAAGAAAATTTTACTTCGCATGAATGAGAAAGGAATAGTTCCAAATTCTAATGCGTATAGTGTTGAGGATTATTGGGAGTGAGTCTCACGTTGGTTAATTTAGTGGATTAATTTAGTGGAAGATCATGGGTTTATAAGTGAGAAATACTATCTCCATTGGTATGAGGTCTTTTGGGGAAGCTCAAAACAAAGCTATGTGAGCTTATGCTCAAAGTGGACAATATCATACCATTGTGGAGAGTCGTGATTCCTAATATATAGTGGACTGTTTGAAGCTTATGGACATGCTGCATTGTATGATGAAGCTCTTGTTGCATTTAACACAATGAAGGAAGTGGGAAATAAGTCATCGTCGATACCTACGATTCGCTAATTCACTCATTTGCTAGAGGTGGACTCTACATGGAGTTTGAAGCAATCTTGTTGAGAATGAGAGAATCCGGCATTTCAAGGAATTTGAATTCATTTAGTGGTATTGTTGAAGGTTATAGGCAAAGTGGTAATTTTGAAGAAGCTATGAAGTCCTTTGTTGAGATGTGAACCCATTGAGCAGGCACTTGAGGCAGTTTTAGGTGTTTATTGCTTTGCAGGTTTTGTAGACGAGAGCAAGGAGCAGTTTCATGAGATTAAAGCTTCATGAATATTACCTTACCTTGTGTATTGGCCGTTGTTGAGGATCGTTGGGAGGGAGTTCCACATTGGCTAATTTAGGAAATGATCATGGGTTTATAAGTAAGGAAAACATCTCTATTGGTATGAGGCCTTTTGGAGAAGCCCAAAGCAAAGTCACAAGAGCTTATACTCGAAGTGGACAATATCATACTATTGTGGAGAGTCGTGATTCCTAACATGGTATCAGAGTAATGCCTTAAATTTAGCCATGTCAATAGAATCATCAAATGTCGAACAAAGAAGTTGTGAGCCTCGAATGTGTAGTCAAAAGTGGCAAGTGTTTAACAAAGAGTGTACTTTGTTCAAGGACTTCAAAGGAGTCGAGCCTCTATTAAGAGGAGGCTGTTCGAGAGCTTCATAGACCTCAGGGGAGGCTCTATGGTGTACTTTGTTCGAGGGGAAGATTGTTGAGAATTGTTGAGAATTGTTGAGGATTGTTGGGAGGGAATCCCACATTGGCTAATTTAGGGAATGATCATGGATTTATAAGCAAGGAATACATTTCCATTGGTACGAGGCATTTTGGGGAAGCCCAAAGCAAAGTCATGAGAGCTTATGCTCAAAGTAGACAATATCATACCATCACGACTCCTAATAGCAGTTTATGCCAAGAATGACCGGTAATAATTACCGTGTGTGCGTGTGTGTGGTATTTGTCTATGAAAGTTATGTTCATTATTAACTCATTTTTTCTTAGTTATATTTCCAATTGATATAGACTGTTCGGGGTACCTTTTCTCTTAAACAAATTTTGTGCTCATGATTCAGTCTATCATAATTTTATTCTATACAGAAATCTGTCACGCCTTGGAGGCTGGTTGCTTAGAATTTGTGTAGTTATATAAGATTGAGAGATCCCACGTCGGTTGGGGAGGAGAACGAAACATTCTTTATAAGGGTGTGGAAACCTCTCCCTAGCTTATGCGTTTTAAAAACCTTGAGGGAAAGTCAATGGCTTGGACCGTTACAGAGAGATGGTTGGAGCATTTTAGAGATTTTGAGGGGGAATTGTTAATGGACGACAGTTAGATAAACATCCTTCACTTTCCCTTTTCTGTTAATGTTGTAAGGTCCTCAGAATAGTCTGTTTTGTCTCTAAAAAATTCTTCTTCCTTAAAATCCCTATATCATGCAACATGATCATGACCTTGCCATGTGCAAAAAAGGAACTCATTGCATGGACCATGAAGTCAATGGTCATTTTATACGAAGTTAGAGTTATAGGAAGAGTTTGCCAGTTGTCATCGGTTGTTAACTCTTACCTTGTAAGAACATCATGTGTTTCCTCAGTGTCGACATTTTTCTTAGATTGTTTGGACCATTTTAAGAAATATATGGTTTGAAATCTTACAGTCCTAAAGATCTCGCTTCGTTAAATTTGATTTGAACCGACGATCTTTAGGTTGATTGAATTCTTAGATACTTTATTTTAATGATCTATCTTACATCTCAGAGTCCATTCTTTCCAGGTGGGATGATGCCTATGAATTACTTGATGAGATGATGCCGACGGGTGTGGATTGGGAATGAGATTTTACAATACACTGTTAGAAGCACTTTGGTGGCTTGGACAGAAAGGGCGTGCTGCAAGGGTTCTCACTGATGGATGTGCACAGGTAAAATTGGAATCGTTTTTTCTTCCATGCTGGCTGGCTGATACCTGTGCTTGAGTTTATACTAATTCGTATGTCTGGTGAAATTGTTAGTCTAAATAATTCCCCTCTAAATCTTCCAGAAGCAAAGATATCCAGATCTAGTATAAATCACTAGTATGAAGATGTTGATTCTAAATCAAGTTATAGGACAGGAACCGAGCTTTTGACCTCAACCGTCCGAAGGAAATTGTGATGTCCCACATTGGATGGGAGGAGAACAAAACACCCTTTATAAGGGTATGGAAACCTCCCCCTAGCAGACGCGTTTTAAAAGCTTTGAGGGGAAGGCCAAGGAGGACAATATCTGCTAGCGGTGGATTTGAGCCATTACAAATGGTATTAGAGCTAGACACTAGACTATGTGCCAGCGAGGAGGCCGTTCCCAAAGGGGTAGATATGAGACGGTGTCCTAGTAAGGACGTTGCGCTCTAAAGGGGGGTGGATTAGACGGGGGTCCTACATCGATTGGAGAAAGGAAAGAGTGTCATCGAGGACGCTGGCCCCGAAGGGGGTGGATTGTGATGTCCCACATTGGTTGGGGAGGAGAACAAAACACCTTTTATAAGGGTATGGAAACTTCCCCCAGCATACGTGTTTTAAAAGTCTTGAGGGGAAGCCCGAAAGGAAAAGTCCAAAAAGAACAATATCTGCTAGTGGTGGATATGAGCCGTTACATAAATACAAGACTTTGTTGAGGATTGTTGGGAGAGGAGTCCCATATCGACTAATTAAGAAGTTGATCCTGAGTTTATAAGTAAGGAATACATCTCGATTGGTAAGCCTTGAGGGGAAGCCCGAAAGGGAAAGTCCAAAAAGAACAATATCTGCTAGCGGTGGATTTAGGCCATTACAGAAATACAAGGCTTTGTTGAGGATTGTTGGGAGAGGAGTCCCACATTGGGGTTGGTCATGAGTTTATAAGCAAGGAATACATTTGATTGGTAGGAAGCCTTTTGGAGAAACTAAAAGCAAAGCCACTAGAGCTTATGCTCAAAGTGGACAATATCATACCAATATGGAGGTCCAAGCTCAGATTGAACGTCTAATTTTCAAGTGATCCACAACCCCAATATCAGCTCTTCAACTTTGGAAAGAACTCACCAAATGATTTCATCAGAATGATTTCATCAGAGAATTAATATTCTTTATTGGAAAATGCCGTTTATAGGTAATCATTAGACCAACTGTTTAAATCTCTCTGAACTAATCAGGGAGATGCGATGTGAGATCCCACATCGATTAGAGAGAGGAACGAGTGCGAGCAAAGACGCTGACTCCAAATGGGGTGGATTATGAGATCCCATATTGGTTGAAAAGGAAGACGAAACATTCTATATAAGGGTGTAAAAAACTCTCTCTAGTAGACGGAAAAACCCAAAAGAGAAAATAGAGAGAGGACAATATCTGCTAGTCCGGTTTGTTTCTATTTATTTATTTTTTTATCGATATTAGAAAGAAAAACTATTCTTTTTTTTACATGAATATTACATAACTCTTTGGCGTGGATCCGTAGAGAGATTTATTGATTGGAAAGGTCACATCTGTGGTTTCTTATATTCTTTTTTAAGATATGAAATGGAAGAAAGAAGAAAGTAGAAAAGATCCTTAAAAAAAGTACTCTTTGATGGGATGTTCCTCTTTCACGCTTGCCCACACACACATTTCCTGAAGATGCCGTATTCATTTTCTCTCTTTTTTTTTTTCTCCTTTAAGATATGATTTTGACTACATAGATTATTGTACTTGTTTCTTTTATTTATAGGAAATTTGTATTGCTAGGAAAATGAGAAACTTTTGTCGAATGAGAAACTATTAACCATGCTTTTTAATGTAACCGATTAAGTCTAATGCTAGTAGATGTTGTCTGCTAGCAGATGTTATATATCCTCTTCAGCCTCACGATTTTAAAATGTGTTTGTTAGAGAGAGGTTTTCATACCCTTACAAAGAATATTTCGTTCTCCTCTCCAACCGAAGTGGGATCTCAGCTGTGGAAACTTTTGTCGACCCATTAATATATAACTTTTTGTCTTTCACTAATTTTTTTGAAGTTGCAGAGCGAAATCAAACTAACGGGAGAGTTTCAAATGGTGTGAGTTGCTGGAGAAGATGAAGAGTTTTAGATTGATTCATTAAATATGGTGACAGGTAATTATACTCTCAAATTGACATTTTTCATCGGTGAATTTGGTTCATTATACATAGATAAGTTAAGTATACTCTTTTTTTTTTGCTCAACAAATTCATCTTTAGATTCTAAAATACTCATATTTTTAAACATGTTATGGCAATAGAATAAAGTAAAGTCATAAGAGCTTATACTCAAAGTGGACAATATTATACCATTCTGGAGAGTCGTGTTCATCTAACATGATATCAGAGTCATACTTTAAACTTAGCTATGTCAATAGAGTCCTCAAATGTAGAACAAATGACTCCAAAAGGAGGCTCCTCGAAGGTATAGTAAAAAATGACTAAGACTCCAAAAGAAAAGGAGTCGAGCCTCGATTCAGGGGAGACGTACTTTGTTTGAGAGGAGGTGTTAGATGAAAGTCCCACAACAACTAATTTAGGGAATGATCATAAGTTTATAATCCAAGAATACTATCTTAATTGGCATGAGACCTTTTGAAGAAGTCCAAAGCAAAACCATGAGAGCTTATATTCAAAGTGGACAATATCATATATCATTGTGGAGAGTCGGGTTCATCTAACACATCTAATTACAATTATAATTATAAAACAGAAGTTATCCACGACGTAACTTTTATCAATATGTTTATTTGTACTTGTATTTACAATTATTGATTCCATTAAAAATTTCTTAGGTCTATATGCACATTTTAATACAGTTGAATTAATGTTGCATATTCTACTACACGTATATTTAATTCTATACAATGTAATCATGTATGGATTATTGATTCATAAACTCTTTTCACAAGTCTCTGCTCATTTTAGTCGTTGAATTTGCAATAACATTAATTATAAACAATTTCACACGTTACCATTTATTCGTGCTCGTTAAGGTTTTTCTTTTCTACCTCCAAGTATTTCTCTTTATACGCTTTATTTTTTAGCATTCGTATAAGCTTACTAAAAGGGTAAATCCTAACTCGGGTATTTTTAGCCATTTTTGTTTATTGTTTATTTAATTAGATAGATATCGAATGGCGGTCAGATACAAAGTTAAAATGTTACATTATTCTTTGAATAATTTTTCGAAGACATTAAAACTTCATAGATACCTACAGAGAGGTTATCTTTTATCTCGTATATAGTGACATTAAACCTAAACGTTAAGTTTAGAACTAAACATCGGATTAAAATTATACTATATCCTAATTTTTTCTATTTAGAAATAAACATCGGATTAAAATTATACTATATCCTAATTTTTTCTATTTAGAAATGTTTAGTGTTACCATCCAACTCCACAATCTAAGAGCCTTTATATTTGTTTTTGTATACTTTCTTAGACACTAAGAAACATAATAAGTGGATTATAAAAAGAAACATGAAAATGGGAAAATTAAATAGATATGGAAGGACATATTTTGTCTTTTTTTTTTTTAAAATAAATTTTCAAATGAGACAAAAAAAATTCCAATTATTATTATTAATTTTTAAAAATAAAACCCTTTTTAACTCCGAAATTTAAAGAAGCAAATTAAATAGAAAACCCTACAAAAATATTAAATTATTGATTTTTTTTTTTTTGCTTTATTTACTTTCAAAGGTTTATATTTAGGCTTCTTATTTTTTCATAAATTTTTAAATCAGTTTTTTTTTTTTTAATTTCTATTGGGTTTCGAATAAATATTTATTGGGGGTAATAGGTGTAGGAGAGAGAGAGTGAGCTAGAGAGAGAGAGGGGGGAAGGAGTGGTGAATATGGTAGATGAACCCCACAAGACCTTATCTTGGTTTATCCTCCAAGAAGAACACCACCATTAAAAAGCTTTAGATTACTAAAGCAATTCCAACAACATTAAAGAACATAATGTAACAAAAAGCTTCTTCTTCTACTTCTTCTTTTCTTATTTGCTTTTTTAATACACCAAAAACGAATATGCTTACCCAACGGTTCATATTTAAATCATACCAAAAAAAAAAAAAAAAAAAATTGTTTATTGGCGTTTTTTATAGTGAGGCCGAGAAGATGGAAAGGGCATTTTTGGAACCGACCCAAAATTTCGAGTTGGTTGGATTGGTGTAACAGCCCAGACCCACTGCTGAAGATGGAAAGGCGTTTTTGGAACCGACCCAGAATTTCGAGTTGGTTGGATTGGTGTAACAGCCTAGACCCACTACTGAAGATGGAAAGAGCGTTTTTGGAACTAACCCAGAATTTCGAGTTGGTTGGGCTGGTGTAATAGCCCAGACCCACTATTGAAGATGGAAAGGGCGTTTTTGGAACTAACCCAGAATTTCGAATTGGTTGGGCTGGTGTAATAGCCCAGACCCACTACTGAAGATGGAAAGGGCGTTTTTGAAACTAACCCATAATTTCGAGTTGGTTGGGTTGGTGTAATAGCCCAGACCCACTGCTGAAGATGGAAAGGGCGTTTTTGGAACTAACCCATAATTTCGAGTTGATTGGGTTGGTGTAATAGCCCAGACCTACTATTGAAGATGGAAAGGGCATTTTTGGAACTAACCCAGAATTTCGAGTTGGTTAGGTTGGTGTAAGAGCCCAAACCCACGACTAGCTTGTATTGTCTTCTTTTGATTTTTCCTTTTGGGCTTCCCTTCAAGGTTTTAAATCGCGCATAGGGAGAGATTTCCATACCCTATGTTTCGTTTCTCTCTCCAACTGATGTGTGATCTCACAATTTGTGACTCGAACAACCTGAATTGAGTTCACAACACTATCCAACCCAACCTACTTATTCTATTATACATATTACGTTACTAACTAAAATTTCATAAAATTCAAATACCAAATAGCTACAAACATAACGTATCACTAACATCAATTACAAACGTTAAATATTTTTATGATTGGGTTGAGTTGTAACCTTATTTTCAGGTTGGTCGAGTTGACCCGACAAATAAATTGTCAACCAACAAACCCAAATCTTCGATTTTTCAAAAATCTAGAAACAACCCAATTTTTATGGTTTGAGTTGGGTAGTCCACGTCGAATTACCCAATCATATGAACATCTTTTTTGAAATCTTTTTAAAATTAAAAAAAAGTTAGTAGTCCCTAAACTTTTAGGAAATTAACAATTTACTCCCTATACTTTTCAATTTGCAACAATTCAAACCCCACGGTCGAAATTTTCATCGACACGAGGGGTTACATTAGTAATTTAAGTAAAAGTAAAGGGCCAATGTGCAAATATTGTTTTGTTTGTACATGTGATGTGACATAGTTTTTTAATGCTTTGTCCCCACACATCTCACCTTGGGGTTTGTGTAAAGATTTGAACCATATATTGTTGAATGTTGATACCCTCAATTGCCCCATTCTTTCAATTCTTTCATTTTCCAATCTTTTTACATTCCTAGGTTTCTTTTTTCCATCCAAATAACTTTAACCCGACTCGTTTTGCTCGTAAAATAATGAATTCGATTGTAATGTTAAATTACAAATTTACCCTTTAAATTTTAAGCTAAATTCGAGGAGTGTGCATTTTTGTCTTGGGTGTTCTTCTGTCGTGCGATTTGGTGGCTTATGTGTGACCTGTGGTGACCCACGTCTCCTATTTGTCCAAGACGAGGGGCTTGAACTATGATTCGATTTGGGTATTCAATCTGGGTTTTATTATGCATCAAATTTAAAATTAAATCTAATAAATTTATTAAATAATTTTATTTTCTTAAATATGTTGAGAAATTATTCTTAGGTTTCGAGAAACGCAGATATCCGGTAAATACGATTTTTTTTATATTTTTAAAAAATATAAATAAAAGCATTATTTATCTTTTTAAAAAATAATTATAATCAATTAAAAAAAAAAGGAAATTAGCCTTATTTGCAAAAAAAAAAAAAAATAATAAAATAAATGTTATCCATAGCTTGTTCATATTTCAAAGGAGGAGTGATAATTAGATAATAGGAAATACACACAACAAAATGAAAGCCAACCAGAAAGTGCCACGTGTTACATAGACACTCACTCCCATGATTGTCACAGCCGCATATATATATATATATATAAAGCATAATTCAATGCACCACTTGTCTTGATATTGTTGTTTAATTTCGGTGGGTTTCTTTTTCCTTTTCTGAAATTTGTACTGCGTCGTCGAAGTTGCCGATGACGACCGACGTTCCTGATTCCGCCGTCTCCGGCGGCGTTACCAAGGAAATCATGTTGTTCGGAGTTAGAGTCGTGGTGGACCCGATGAGGAAGAGCGTCAGTATGAACAATCTCTCTCAGTATCAGCATCCTCCTGCGGTTTCCAATGATGATAACGGCGGTAATAGTAAGGGTAATATCTCCGCCGCTGAGAGGAAGGAAGATTCGGCTGCTGGTTATGCTTCTGCGGACGATGCCGTTCCCAATTCCGGTGGGAATCGTGAACGCAAGCGAGGTTCGATTCGTTCCCTGTTTTTCTTGTCGTTTCTTTACTTTTTTCGCCAGGTTAAATATAATCGTATCAATAGCGCGATGAAGATGATGATAATAATCAAGTGATTTTGAAATACTATTTGCGATTCGTCTGAGTAGTTCCTGTAAAACACTAACACACATTCGATTGATTTTTTTGGGAAGTTCTGATAGTCGGCAGGTTTTCACTTAATAGATTGAGAATTTTTGCTAGGTTTACTTTGGAATCGTATAGATTAGTTCAATTTATTCGGTATTTGAAGCTAATTTGGTAAGTTTGTTTGTGGATGATTCCCAGGAGTACCATGGACGGAGGAAGAGCACAAACTTTTCTTGCTGGGATTGCATAAAGTGGGGAAAGGGGATTGGAGAGGAATTTCAAGGAATTTCGTTAAAACTCGAACCCCAACTCAGGTGGCTAGCCACGCTCAAAAATACTTTCTACGCCGAAGCAACCTAAATCGTCGCCGCCGTAGATCCAGCCTCTTTGATATCACCACGGATACGGTAATTCTCATCTTTACAAAATTTATAACTTCTGTTTAGATGGTGAGAAGAATCCATGGATTGGTTTTCAAGTATTTTGCACTCTGTTGTTTGATTCCTTAGGGTTCCAAACTGTGATTTTCAGTTGAAATAGTGTATTCATTTGGGTAGGTGAATCAGGATTTCAATAAACAGATAGTGAAATTTCTTGGCCTATCTCCTTTTGGAATTTGCTCCTTTGTTCTTGCATTTTTTAACCCACAATAACAAAGAAAACCACCACTTCGAGTAGCAAAGGGATAAGAATAGTAGTTTTGGGATTCTAATGATAGTATACTTCAATAAGTGCAATTCCAAATCGATCTTTACTTATAATTCTTTATCTGGGTTCATTAGGTAAAGGTGGCTGCTGAAGAACACCAAATTCAACTTCAAGATAATTCCTCCAAATTGCAATCCTTATTGCCACCTCCACCGCCTGAAACTTGCAACATAAATGAATATCATCATCCGATGCCAACTTTTCCTCTATCTGTTTGCCCTGCAGTTTTACCTGTGCCAAATCCAATCGAAAATCTCACACTTGGGCATGAAAACCTTGACCTTACTGCTGAAATTTTGCCACTCAATCCAACCACACCCAAGATTAACTCGAATTCGAAGTCGGCATTAAAATCTGGAGCTCTCTCTCTTAACCTTTCTTTGCCTTCAAACTCTGCCAATTCTTCATCAAAACACCCTGATTTCCCAGGAATCACAAGAATGAGCAGCGGGGATAACATTATCAGTGTTTCTTAAAATCACTTTGAATGGTATGGTATAATGATCTGGAGACAAAGTGATTAGGCCACTAACTAAAGTTGTTTGTTGTAGTTGTATATCCCTTTCCCCAACCCCCAAAAAAAGGAGCTAAGAGAAGAGATAGAACTGCTGTGGCTTGTTGTTTTCTTTGTTTGGATTGTTGTTCATTTGGTGTTTGTCTGTATAACTGAACCTAACAAGCTGTCTCTGCTCTCTACTGCTTAATGATAACGTCTTGGCTTTTTCAGTATCTTTGTGTGGCCTTGGAGTGTTTTGAATTAGGGAAAATATCAAGTTTGATCAGGAGATGGTGATGTAGATGCCTCATGCCTCATATTTCTCTATCTTTTATTAGATTAGGTTTGGTGCATCTTGTGATTGTGGATAGCATTTGATCCTCTTTTGTGGGTCAAGGTGGTTGTACTGTCATTTTACTTTTATGTGAAGCTCATTCTCTTCCAATGCTAGATTTTATCTCATATGCCTTCCTTTCTGCTGGACTTTATTTGCAAGTTGCTCAAAGTTTCATTCATAGTTTTGGTAAATAGCCCGTTATGTGTCGTCGTCAGCCTCACGATTTTAAATCGTGTCTATTAGGGAGAGGTTTTCACACCCTTGTAAGGAATGTTCTCTGTTCCCTCTCCAACTAATGTGTGATCTCACAATCCACTCCCTTGGGGGCATAGTGTTCTCACTCAGTATCTGATTATGATACCATTTGTAAGAACTTAAGCCCACCTTAGGGGCCCAACATTCTCGCTGATACACCGTCAAGTATATAGCTTTGATTCCATTTGTAACAACCTAAGTCCACTGCTAGTAGACATTGCCGGCTTTGATCCGTTACGTATCTCCATCAGCCTGGCTACTAGGGAGAGGTTTTCTCACTCTTATAAGAAATGTTTTGTTCTCATCTCGAACCAACATGGGATCTCACAATATTGGTTTTCTTCTCCTCGCTACATAGTCTCTGATCAAGAAATGTATTAGTACTGAGAAAATAATCTTGTTTCGTTCTTCGTTTGATTTGATTTTTTAGACTTTATTTTGACTCTTCATGTATATGTATCCTATAGGTATCGGGCCAACTTCTAATCTCACGAGCCAACAAAACATACGAGTTTTTTTTTAGATCAAATTAAGTGTTATTAAATAGCATAAAGTTACCATTTAATATAATGTACATATGTAGAAGGCACATGCAAAAATATGTGAATAATAAAAAAGTGGGATCTAATTCTGATGCGCATACTTTGGGAACTTTATAGGTTTGATTAAGTAATACCAATAGTGTGGTTTTCTTGAATTTCTAGCTTTTTAGGTTCTACGGATTCTCAACAAAAGGGGATGCCATTGTTATGTGGTTGCTCCATACTTGGATAACACTCAAAAGTTAGGTATCTCTTTTTCCACTTTCCATTTTAACCATCTTTACAATTAAATGAATATTATTCTGATCCTTTTGCATCCGAGGGGAAGGAGCGGTGCAGCTCGACCGAAAAGGAGTTGAGGGAAAGGAGCAGGGCAGCTCGACTGATGAGGAGCCAAGGGGAAGGAGCAGTGCAGCTCGATCGATAAGGAGCTGAGGGGAAGTAGCGGTGCAACTCGACTAATAAGGACCCGAGGAGAAACAACAATGCAACTCGACTGATAAGGAGTCGAGGGGAAGGAGCGGTGCAGCTCGATCGATAAGGAGCCGAGGAGAAGGAGTGGTGTAGCTCGATCGATAAGAAGTTGAAGGGAAGGAGCAGTGCAGCTCGACTGATAAGGAGCCAAGGAGAAGGAGCGATACGACTCAACTGATAAGGAGCTGAGGGGAAGGAGCGGTGCAGCTCGACCGATAAGGAGCCGAGGGAAAGGAGCAGTGTAGCTCGACTAATAAAGACCCAAGGGGAAGGAGCGGTGCTACTCGATCTATAAGGAGCTAAGGGGAAGGAGCGGTGCAACTCGACCGATAAGGAGCTGAGGGAAAGGAGTAGTGCAGCTCGACTGATAAGGAGCTGAGGGGAAGTAGCGATGTAGCTCGATCGATAAGGAACCGAGGGGAAGGAGCAGTGTAGCTTGACCGATAAGGAGCCGAGGGGAAGGAGCGATGCAGCTCGACCGAAAAGGAGCCGAGTGGAAGGAGCGATGCAGCTCGACCGATAAGGAGCCGAGGGGAAGGAGCGATGCAGCTCGACCGATAAGGAGCCGAGGGGAAGGAGCGGTGCAACTCAACCGATAAGGAGCTGAGGGGAAGGAGAGATGCCAGCTCGATCGATCTTCTAGTTGTTCATACATATTTTTTAATTCATCAAAATTACTTTGAATTTATTGTTTAGTAAACCAAATGAAGTAGCGCTTAGACATTAATTCACAGGGATAAAATTTAGAGAATATATATATATATAATTTTCCCCCCAAAATCTGGTTAGTTCCGAGCAGAGGAGGCTCTACGAAGGCGACTTTCAGCGATTGAATATGGCTTCTTCGCCGTCGATTCATCCAAATTCTTCCTGTTCTTATGAACTTTCTCTATGTATTCAGACGCCCAACCATCCACATTCGCCTCAACAAAATCGCTCTCTTCGCGAATCAAATACGAGGAAGGCGACGGCAACGACGGCGACGAATACCTAGGCGATCCATGGCCGATTTGGAAGCCTCCTCCGCCTGGCTTCGTCACGTAGATCGGCTTCGCACGGCTCTGCGGCTCCTGCAACCGTCTACTTCCTGGAATCAGAGGCGTCGTCGCCGGATTTCCTCGCGATTGCCGCCCTGCCGCCCTAGATCCAGCAGTTACTTCATTGGCGGTTTTGGCGAAGGAAATAGAGCTGGAAAGCTTGATTAAATTCGCTACCAATAGCATGGATTTCTCGCAGAGCGATTCGCTCGATCTTCTTTCTTTACCGATCATAGCTGTAATTGATTGGAATGAAGAAACAGAGATGAAGTTGTGTTGTATTTATAGTATAATATGCAATGTTTTTGAGATTCTTTGCTTTTGAGGAGAGTGAGAGATGAGTGAAATTATAGTTCTAAGTTTGGATAGATTGTTTAGAAGGCAGATTCCATGTTCAAATTTTCAAAGAATAATTTAGGGCTTTTGCAAGTGGATAGATCCCTTTCTCACTTGCTAAGAACTCTACACAATCTATGAGTGCAGGGATGAGGAAGAAGAAGAATCCATGGGAGACTGATAGCTACCTTAACAATATGATAATGGATATGGATGCCGCGATGTCAAATCAGGTCTTTCTTCTTCTTCCTTTTTTCTGTCTCTTTCAGTTCTTGGTTCTAGCGATATATGCATTTGTATCGTTTTAAGCCACTGCCGGTCAATATTGTTCACTTTTGCCTGTTACGTATCGTCGTTAGTCTTACAGTCTTAAAACGTGTCTACTATGAAAAGGGTCTAGCCCTACTTCGTCCGGTGTCTTGCGCCGTCCGATTACTAGCTCTGATATCATTTATAACAGTCCAAGCCTACCGCTAACATATATTGTCCGTTTTGACCCGTTATGTATCTCCGTTAGCCTCATGGTTTTAAAACACGTCTACTAGAAAAAGGTTTTTGCACTTTTATAGCGAATGTTTTGTTCCCCTCTCCAACCGATGTGGGATCTACTAACATAGTTGAACTAATTTATGAACATGTCTTGATTTAGAGACTAAAAGTTCAAATCTCATGATTCAGCTGAAGCCATAAGCTTATTGAGTGTCAGCTTTGTTTCGTGCTCTTCCAACTCTGTAATGCTGTCCAACTTAAAGAAAAATTTAAGCTCCAACGTGCTTTTTCGCTCCTGTTTGTGACTTTGTTGGATATTAGGCGAGGTTTTTTCATCATCAACCAAGGTTCACGTCATTTGTAACTCTACCCGACTTGCTTCTATTATAGAACAAGTTGTATGGCTCAATCGTTGAGGTTCCTTGCATCCAATATTGCATCATTTTGATTCTCAACAACACAGGCCACGTGTTGCTACATTAATCTAAAGCTTCACCGAGATGTGTTCAATTAGTTGGATTAAAACAACCCTAAAATGCTCAACTTAGAGCGGTGATTTGAACTTGCCAACACTTCTCAAAGCATCATAGTGCTAACCAAAAGCAAAACTAAACAAACAAAAACTTAGGAGATATTTAAAATGCTTACGAGGACATGATTGACAAATTTCGTGTCAACCACGGGCTATCGAGTATCATTGATGCTTTATGATATTTACGAGCATTAGAATGTCACCCACCTTTACAACTCGCCGAAACTCTTATTGAGAATTGACTCATGAGTTAACGTCATTGATACTCCCGAAGATATCGATGCTTATGTTATTTATCAATCTTGTTAAGAATGAGAAATAGAAATAAAATTAGGATCGAAAGTATGATGAATGTTTACAATCGTTTAATTAGGATACAAACTATCAACTAATACTAGGATAAAATATACTACTAACAATTCCCAAAAATAAAGAAATAAAATATATTATTAACCATGCCCAAAAATAAAGAAAAAATATTAACGGGATTACGGATATATAAGATATACTCCATAACTAATTATTAAAATATATTCTCCAAATATCATATCTTAATAAATCTTGCTAACTCTTGGTGTATAAATGATGCACCGTTCTCCTCAATTGCATCACGACATCTCTCGATCCTTATAGCGTTTGAGTTGAATCGTTTAAGTTGTTCGAGTCATCGGGTCATATGAGCACCTCACTCGTTTTATTACTATTATTATTATTTTCATTATAATTGCTATTTTTTTTTAATATCAGCTCACTTTTTCTTAAGAAAAACAAAGATAAACGCACCGTGTAAAATAAAATTAAAAAAAAAAAAAGAAAAAAAAGAAAAAGGAAAAACCTAACTGCTCCATGCCACTTCTTCTTCTTCACGCCGTCTCCTCCTCCTCCGTTTCAGCAGCTTAGCGTCGACGCCGCCTCTTTCTTGTTCGCTGCTGCCGCCTCCATTGTCTTTCTTCCGTTCGTGCTCCCGCTGCCTCCTCCCTCCTAGGGTTTTTCCACTGATTTTATACTCCCTGTTGTTACAGGTGCTCTCCCACTCTCTATCTATGGCTTTCTTCTCACTTGAGAAACACAATTAGAACTTGTCTAATTAAAGAATGGAAGAGTTGTTTGATTTTTTTAATCTTTTTTAATATCAATAGTCGAATAGCAACGAAGATAAAAACAATCTTGGTTCGTATTTGGCTGTTCTGATTCGGACATGAATTAGTCATCTTATTCTTGTTTAGTTTCTAGCTTGATTGGCCGAACAACGTCAAACTTGTTTATATTTGTATATTTGTATATTTGTGATCCTTTGAATGTATGGAAATAAGAACATGAATCTAGACTTTTTATTTTTATTTTTATAATTAAAATACGAATCAATCACTTCTTGAATTGTTAAAGGTAGTCAAGTGAATGTCATTGTGTTTTAATTTCTACAAGTTTATCTCTTTGTATGTATTCATAATGGTGAGTGTCGACTAAATTGATGAATTTGCTTACAGTTGCTAGAGATTCAGGGAGACTCAATAAAACCCCATTCATGTCTTCTCTTTTAGAACCTGAAAACTCTCCCAATATTTTCATACCTGAAGAATGGTCCGAGGCTGCAGAGTCCATAGTTTTTTATTCTCCAACTTCACCGCCTCCTGTTGTTCTTATCTGCGGTGCCAAAAACTGTGGCAAAAGTACTTTCTCACGCCACCTTCTCAATGTTTTCCTTCAAAGGTTATCTTTGTTCTGATGATTTCAAAATTCAAATGTGGAAATGGTTTTTTTTGGATACCTCTATACTTAAGTTGCTAATGCTTCACACAATATGGTTTTCTTTTATTTCTGCTTGCAGGTATAAAAAAGTGGTTTACCTAGATTCAGATGTTGGACAGCCTGAGTTTACTCCACCGGGTTTTCTATCCCTCACCGTGGTTGACAAACTAACGCCAGGTTATTTCGTTAAGGTCCTTTGCAGTGTCGATAGATTCTCGTGTACCGAATGTAATAAATTTTTCCCCAATTGTAGTCTCTCTTGACTGAAAATCATTTTGTTCTTCTTGTTTTTTAAAACTAGATTTGTCGACTCCATGCCTAAAGACGCCAGAGAGGTAAATTGTGATGAATTCATTCTATATATATGTTGTAATTTGCTATCTGCATCTGTTGAATCCATCTTTTTTAATGTTGCCTTTTGTTTTCTGTTATTGAATATCTGTAACTCGACTATATGATTTGTGTTGAGGATTGTCGAAGTCAAAACCTATTCTAAATTTTTAACCAAGGATGATTTTACTATATCTTATGCCCCTTTCCTATTTATAAGTAATGAAGAATTCTGTTTTCTCACTGTGTTTTTTTTCCCCTGTTCTTCTTTTAGATGTTTTTTCTTTGGTGATGTATCCTCAAAAAGAGATCCAACAGCTTATTTAAGTTATGCAAGTTGCTTGTACGATTATTACTGCAAAGAGTACCATTCGATTAACAAGACTCAAGAACTTGCAAAGATTGAATTGCCTCTTATTGTTAATACACCTGGCTGGGTAAAAGGTATCCTACTCTTTTGAATTGTATAAATGGCTTAGTCAACATTTTTTTTCTTGCTTTGAATTGTCGATTACGTATTACGTTCTCCCTGTTTATTTAACTTCGATTGGCGAATGCCCCAGGTGTCGGTTACGAGATATTGGTAGATATGTTAAAATACATTGCTCCATCCTATGTAGTCAAAATAAATATATCTGCTGAGAGTAAGAACCTTCCGGCCGGGGAGTTTTGGTTAGAAGAGGAGGAAGATTTTGGGTCAACCAATCTAATAGAAATACGTTCTGCTCGGCAAGATGCGTTTAATAGATCGTAAGCTCTTTACTATCTTTAATTTCAAAAGCATATATTTATGCAGGTTGAAGGTTTCCCATAAACCTTTGTTTCATCCACTCGTTTTATTTCAGACAATGACTTCAAACATGAAAGTATAATATACTCACATCTCTTCCTTCATTGTGTTAGGATATTAGTACAAAAGGATGCAAGTCTCATGCGAGATTTGCGTATAATGGCGTATTTTAGACAGTGCTTTCCTAAAGATTGCAGTATTACCACAATTAAAGAGCTTGCACATGCACTGGCATCTCACCCTCCTTATCAAGTTCCAATATCAAGCATTAAGATTAGACACCTACACTGTCAGGTTGGTGCAAGAATCAACTTCACCAATTTTCTTTCTTCTTTCTCCCTTCCATTGAGCTTTAAACATCAGCAATGTTTATCACTAATTGAAATGCTGCACCTTTCTCATACTGAACCACAACCCCTGCATGCACACAACGTACCAGTATTAATCATGTCTTCATTTATCACTTAGGTCCCAAGCGATCAGATCTTCTATAGTCTGAATGCGACAATCGTCGGCTTAGCTGAATCCTCCAAAACTTCTGAAAATCTGTCATGGTGTGTTGGCCTTGGTAGGTTACTTCTACTACATTGTGCCACCAATATTTTTGAGTTATTTACCAACATGAGTATAGCTCAACTTGCATAAAATATACCCTCTCGATTAAGAGGTCAGAGTGTTGAATCAACATTTGAGTTATCTGTTTGTTTCGGGCCTTAAATTCATTTCGCAGAACTCCGTACATAGTTTAATTTTATGCTCAAACTAATATCTTACGGAACAGGAATCATTAGGGGCATTGATACATCTAAAGGTCTGCTATATGTTATCACACCCGTCGCCCATGGCACATTGGAAAAGGTTGACCTTCTTTTACAGGGTTTTATCCAAATCCCCTCATGTTTGTTGCAGGTAATAAATAGATCCTTATGTGAATTATTACCCATCTTCTTTTCATATTCCATTTTTTGGCAGCCCAATGTTCATTGATATTCATTATTGTTTCCAATTTCTTTTTCCAAAATTGTTCAGCTGTTTCCCAGTACATAACTCTGTAGCAACTGGGACATTTTTTGTTGCTTTAAAGTTTTTAGGCGCATAGTGGAGTTCATAAGATTGTTGTAGCTTGATGAACATAAGTCCAAAGGGATTGAGTCTGGTTGAATTACATAGTTTTTCAGGTCTACTATCATATTGACATTGTTCTAAACTCTTCTTCTGTGCAATTTTGTTCCAGGTTAAGGGATGCATATCTCCTTACATGTCTGCAAACATTCTGCCCACGAGCTAGTGCATTTACAGAGCTTCAATGCATTGGTTCTTTTTGTTCTTTGATATATAGTTCAT